GATAGAACACTCCTTATGAAACATACCTATTCGCATAAACTAGTCATCATCAAAGGATTAGTTGAACAGAGTGTGTGATACATCATAACATGATAGATAAAGTAACGGATAAGTCGATCAAGCTTCAGATAGAAGCTGAAAATTTCAAGTAAAATGTTTTCTAAATTTTAGTAAGATCAGTTACGTATCATTGATATCCTTTGCAAATACAAAGAACGATTAATCTATATTTTCTATCGGTCTTAAATAAAGATGCATTTTTATAATTACTTGATGCCTACACCTCAAAGAGAGCTCATGGGAGTTACTTCACAGGTAGATGGGCCTGCAACATTTTCTTTCCTACATCTCTTGATTAGAACTACGAACAATCAAAAGTCAATTAGAAAAGTAGCGAAATTAAATAAAGACCATATTCCAAGAGTAAAAAAGTTGATTCTGTGGCATTAAAATTACAAAGAGTTATTGGAACCAACTGTTCTTTCCTTCGATAATTCTTTGATGACATCTCACATTACTCTTTGTTTTCGTTTCAGTAGCGCAGAAGATAGTTTTATTCAATCAAAATAGTTAATGTTAGAGTTGGTCAGCTACCCTTACGTTCCCCGTTAGTCAATAATGGGTAACGAAGAATTCGCGAGTTTATCACAGGAAAACTATTTTTCAAAATAAATTATACTTTATAAAGTTTGATCAAAGATCTCCGGGATCAAACAATGCGAATCTTTAGTCTGCATCTCAATAGCCTCTCCTTGACAGAGAAATTGATTACAGATTCGGATTACTTGCCCTTCAGGACCTTTCATTAAACTTTATGAGAAATCAAGATTTTGCCTCGATAGCTATTTTCTGACAAAACAAACAAATCTACGAATATTTCGTTATTCAGTTACTCATTGGATAGTAACGTAACGGTAGCTTCTCTCTCGTATTTTGGTAGCAAGAATCATTTTAGAATAACTTGAAATCATGGAATTAGATGTTTCTTCCTTGCCATATCTTCATGCATAGCCATATATAAATCTCTGTCCTGATATTATTCTTCGTTCTAATCGTCAACTCACTGAATATTGTAAGAACAACAGTCGTCAGGAAGTATAACCGAAGCATCTGTTAAGAGTACAACAGTCATGCTACCATATTGAAAAGATTACACACAATTTTCGAAGAATTCATGCAGCCAAATTTCGTGCTTGCACTGTACTAGCTCAGCAAAGTAGCTTCTACTCAAATTTCTCGATTGTTCTTGATGTTATGAAAGGTTGAAAATTGAATAGACGTCGTAAAGATGTTTGCAGAAAATACCTTTGTTTGGCTATCTAGTAGATACTGAAAAGAAAATGCTGAAATCATCAAATTCCTCAGACATTTTTTCTGACAAAAAGTATCTTCATATGAATATCTGTTAAAAGCAGAGTTGAAATAGCTTAAATTCTCTTTCTATTTGAAGATTCCACGACACTGAAAGATTTTCGTAAAAAGTGTTAGAAATTTCGCAGAAAGTTCTGCCAGTGCTTCCTTAGCCATCGAACCTACTACTACTTGTCATGTTATGGTAAAATTCTGCTTCTATCGATATTTCTCTTATCTTTAATCGTGGTTCGTGTTCGTAGAAATGTTCGTTTTCTTTTAGAACTGATACTGGTTTGTTTTCATCTCTTGCTTTTTTACTTGGTGGTGGCAGTTCAAATGATTCAACGTTATCCTCTGGTAAACAACCAACAATTGAAGAACAAGAAGCAATAAAAGTTGCTTCATCATGTATAGAAGAATGTCATTTAGAACAATTATTACAGGAAACCAAATTTTTAATAATTGATTCTTTAAATGAATTATTAAAAGCACTTATATATGGTTGTCAAATATTTCCAGATTCTCAAAAACTTGATCAAGATGCTGCTGTATTTTGTCTTGAATTACTTGTTAAAGTTGTGTTACAAAATCGTGATCGTGTCACTATATTTTGGCCAACTGTTCGACATCAATTTTATTCAATACTTGTTAATGCTAATGCAAAAACATTTTTTATTGAACGTACTTGTATTGGTTTATTAAGAATTGCAGGAAGACTTTTGCGACGAGAAGAATTAGCTTCTGAAGTAATTGTATTTCAAATGAAGATTTTTTTTTTTTTGTAAAATGTTTATTTTATTTTTCTAGGTGCTTAATTCACTTCGTATGCTTCTACTAATGAAACCCCATGTTATTTATACATTGTCGTCTGAAATAGCTTATGGTTTACATGAGCTTGTTCGAACAAACGCAGCAAATATACATAAATCTGATGATTGGTTTATATTATTTTCTTTACTTGAAGTTGTTGGAGCAGCTGTTCATCCACCTCCTATACTTCAATCAACAACAGAAAATCTGTCATTAAACAAACATGTTCATCAGAATTATTCAACAACAAATGCTGAATCAGATACGGAATGTTCTGATTGTTTAACAACAAGTATCATTGATAAAGGTTATTTAAGTGATTCAGAAATTTATCGTCGTTCAGATTATATAGTTGTATCACACAATGATTTTGATACATTTCGAAATCAATATGATCAATTTTCACGACATGATCGTCGAGCTTTAAATAAATCTTGTGAAATATTATCATTTCTTATTCATGATGCTGCATATGTAACACAGGAAAATTTTGAATATTGCATACATTGTATACGAACATTCATTGAAGCCACTGTTATACAACAATCAGATAAACAAACATCAAAATTAACAACGAATAATAATCGAAATATAAAACAAATTCGTAAAGTAACATCATCAAACTCTTTAAATAATGAAAATTTTAATGAACAAACGAATAATCAAATAAAACAATCACGTTCCGATTATGATGATGATGATATGCAACAATCGATTAAACAAGAATATCAATCATTGGCTTTACAATTATTAGATTTAATGCATACATTACATATGAGAGCAGCACAAATATATAAACAAATACCAATTGATCAAACAATATCGAATGCTTTATGGTATAAATGTTGGTGTCCTATTTTACAAGGTTAGATATTTTCTTCAAACTGCATAACAATCAGAATCCAGAATGCGTGCATATATTTATCTTTTTAAATTGATGTTCTTTGTTTTCGATAAATATTTCAAATTCAATCTCATACAAATTAGGTATATAAAAGTCATGAGTGGAATGAATTGTTTTTGGTCCCTATTAGAGAAAATTTGTTATTCTGGTTTCACGCTTAATAATACATGGACTAGCACGAAATGCGATATTGTTTTCTAGCAGTGTCAATGAACTCGAGACGTGTTGCACGACCCATATGACCTCTAATATATTCCTTCTGGTAGAATGATTACTTTTTTTAATTAATTAGAATTTCCCCTATTCTGCATGTTTATGTATTCGACAAATATGTTGTTTAAGAAAAAAATGATTCATTTTATTATCAAAATAATAACAACTGATAATAAAGTGATCGTTACTCAATAGTTTTCGCAAAAACTTTCAGAGAACATGAGTTGTTAGAATATAATATTTGACGCAAGTTTTACACGACAGTAAAAGATATCTCTCCCAATGACAATATGTTAATCCTAATCTCGACGGAACCGAAACCATCTTGCCCACATCTCGCATATATGCATTGTACAGGTTTACATTATACAATTGTAAACAATGATGATTTGAACCTAAGCCAAGAATATATTAGTATTGTTGAATTTCTATCAGGGTTTGTCGAAACAAGTTGCAAAGAAAAATACTGAAAATGAAATTTTTCTGACTCTTAAATAACGGGGAGACATTTTATTTTAAAATATAGACATAAAAAGGAGTACTATTAAAATTACAAACAGATGTTTATCTTATTTTTGTTGTTTTTCGATCAATAAAATTTATCTGACTAGCAATTGTTTCGATTTTTTTCACCATTTTTTAAACTCAATATGCAATGTTTAAATCATCGTTGTAAAGATGTTTTATTTGTTGATTGCTTTGAATTCAATCCTCCAAAAAGGTATGAGTAGGTGTGAACGTAAGTGTGAGTGTTGAGAATATGCAAACCAACCCCTACGCCAATAACAACAGTCACATCCTACGAATATTATAAAAATCTATTTATTCTATTGCATACTTCAGAGGATTTCCGTCACTTCGTATTACCATACGATGCGGACTTAGCCGAAAAACAGAACAAAAAAGTTTCGATCTAAAATGTTGTCAATAAGTAGTAGATCTCGTGTTCCTGAAAACGTCTTACAAGTCTTATTCAAAATGATTGCTGCCAATTTGAAATATTCAATGTTTACAAATTCATGATTTTTCTGGTCATTTCAGAAGTTTAATTGATTCTTGAACATTGAATATTTCTCAAGAACGAAACTATCATTCGGATTGATACTAGGACAAAATTGCAGATAACAAACCTTTTGTTTAATTTTCTTGCCAATAGCGTGCCCTATGTTAAACATCAAACAGAACTGTCGTAACTGCAGATAAAGTCTATAAACCTATATCCTTTTTTTATAGTTACTCTAGTTTAGAATTTTTTCTCCATACGTTCAAAATATGAGTTTTTTCATTCTATGAAGCATCATTATGTGTAAATAATTCTGTTTCGCATTGAAAGACACATTATCAGACTTAGTTCGTTGATAATTAGTTTTAAATATGATTTTGTTAAGTGATGACTTTTGATTTTCGTTTCGAAAGTAGTATGAAGTGAGTGTTTCATAAGGTTATTGTTCTATGGCTGTATCTTTTTATAAACAAGATACTTTTCAAATTATAATCTAATAAGTTCATACTATTGGCAACACAAAAATAAAGATCATTACTTGAGAAAAATTTTCAACAGACGAGTTTTGAGAAAGTATCATAGAGTTTGAAGTGAAATTATCAATAGACATCAATACTTCACAGATCGAAAAAGATCAATTTTCTCAAACAAATTTTTGTCTTTTGATCTTAAAATATTTACCAACTATGGATTAATTCTCAAGTTATTTATAATTCAATGAAAATGACACTTGTCAAGCAAAATTTAAACTTTAAATTGTCTCTGTATTTAGGTATTACTCGTCTTTGTTGTGACTCTCGTCGTGCAGTTCGTTCATCTGCCCTGGGTTATCTTCAACGATGTGTTCTATTACCTGAACTTCATATTCTTTCTCCAATAGAATGGGAATCTGTGTTTGATAAAGTATTATTTCCTTTATTACTTAAATTACTTGAAACAATAAATATAAATGATCATATATATGGAATTGAAGAGACACGTGTACGTGTTTCACAATTATTATGCCGAATATTTTTACAACATCTTACACCATTATTGACATTACCAACATTCACAAAAATATGGTTAACTATTTTAGATTTTATGGATAAATATTCCAAAATAGACCAAACTGATATGTTGGTAAGAAGATTTATCAGAAAAATACCATCAAAAAGAAATAAATGATTTATTATTATTTTAGCGTGAATCTGTTCGTGAATCATTAAAAAATATGCTTTTAGTTATGAATACAACTGGTTTATTTGATGATAATCAACCTTTAACAGTGATTACAAAAGATAGAATTCACAATTTTTTTCCTGGTCTTTGGGAGGAAGTTTTTAAAATATCAACACCACCACAAGTACCTTCTCCAACCGTAGAGGTAATTCGACAACAATCAATATTTTCGAAAAGTTTTTAATTGTATTATAGTCGGTTGTATTACCTACAACAAGCGGTGATAGTAATACTCCATCGAATGAATCAACAACATCGTTAGTATCAAGTAAGTCTCTCTCTTTTTTTTTATCGTTAATTCCCTTTTGTGAAACACGATCTAAAAGGAGTGTTGAAGTATATAGAATAAAAATTTATGTCCTTCCACATATCATGACAGACACCTTAGCAATATCCCTTCCGTCACCGACAATGGCAGAAGTTGTTAATATACGATCAAAGGCCATATATCAATAACGCCTCATTATGAAATATGAACTATGTCCCAGGAGAAAACAACATATTCTCGTACTCCATGAAGTACACTGGGATTACATGAAGTTCAGCAGTATATCGTTTTCCCCTTGACTACTTCCTTATTCCATTTTTGGAAAATTAAGTGAAATTACGGTAAAAAATATGTTCAAGAATCGTTGAAATAAAACAATCTTCCTGTGGTTAGCAGCAGCTACATCGTGTTTCATATTTTAATTGTGGAAGAATTGAGTTAACAGCTTTTTTTTTTAATCTGACGTATATATTGTTTTTTTGTTTTTAGATGAGACAACAATCAATGAACCACTTCCTCCAACTAATGTATGATTGTTTTTTCTCACATAAGAACTTCTCAGAAAATAAAAAAAAGGAACAGTGATAGAGAAATAATTGAGTTCGTCCATGGTTTCTTATAGGTTTCTACTTGTTTTCCGTCTTGATCTTTTGAAATCTACTTTTGTCTATTATTTTCCAAAAAAAAGAAGGTTAGAATTATATATTTATTAAAATAGAGTATAAAACACTTGCATGCTTGTACCTATTATCTTTTTAAAAAACTGAATAATTGTTGTGACCATTTTTTGCATAAAAAGATCTGGTAAATTTCGGTTATCATTATTAGAAAATTCTTAAGATTTAAAAATCTCTCGCTTTCTAATAATGAAAACTTCATCTTGCTGGTTCTTTTCCTTGTTGCGTTATAACAAAAAAAATGGCTATCGATGATTGTTTGTTTAAAAGAGATAATTATTTTTTTTAAAATGTTTTCATTTTAGACTCGATTTTTACCAGCTCAAATACAAAATTTGTGAACATTGTACTACTTTATTTGAATCAATTTTTTGGCTACCTAATTCATTTATAAATAAAAAAAACAACCAGACTTAATATAACCCTATATTTTATTTATTTCCTTTTGTTTAATTTGTGTCATTTGAATTCTAATAATTTTTTTTCCTCTTATTATTCATTTAATTTTTCATAAATTTTGTAGCCAATATATCGGCTAAAGAAAAAGCACCTATAACAATTGTTATCTAATTTATGTAAAACAAAAACGATGAAATCATTCTATATTTTAAATAAAATTCTGATGAATAATAATGATTCTTCCACGATATGTTAAAATGATGACAATGTATGTAAACAAGACATTGAAGCTCGTTGCTATCATTGTTCAAGAGTACGTATCATAAACTTTTTCTAGAATATCTTCAACAGGGTTTGAAATGGTTCACTCCTTCCGAACTTCATTACTGTTTCAACATGTATAGAAAACTGAATGAATTAATATAAATTACTGTAATATATGATTCATTTATACAATACTTCATGTGATCAGTGCATACATCGACAATTAATGTTTATATAGTGATAGTAAATCTGGTCGATGTCAAGATCTAATTCATGCTTCTTAGCATGAACCAATATGTTTAGATCAAAGATTCGATAATAATGTTTCTATACACAATAGTTAATATCAAACTGCTTAAAACATCAGCTATGTAGCATTGGTGTATGTGTGAAAGATTTTTCTCTGAAGGGTATTTCGGGGTAAAAAGGGAAGTTTAGTGAGTAGATTTTAACATTTCCATCGCCCTTATTTCTTTGTTTCATTAACATAATAGCATAGACATCACAAAAGTTTACTATGAACAAAGGCACTACTCATTAACTGTTTTGATCATTTACTCAAGTCATTTCGCATGCTGATACAACAGGTAAACATAAAAAATGAAATAATAAGAATCTATTCAATGTACTTTTATAACTAGTATTACTGCTGCCAATGTATTTGATAAGTCTATGTATTCTAATAAAATGAAGAAAAGAAAAGCTTTGTTTTAAGAACCAAGGCAGCTCAGACCCGTCGAATTCATTCAGTGCTGTTTCTAATGGTTATAAAAGTTTCAATTAGACTAACATTGAATATATCAATGCATTTACAACTGTAAACAACAGCGGCTATTGAGTATGGATCCCAAGCTGACTGTTGGATATGCCAACCTCTACTATTAACACATAACGGTTATAACAATGATTACTACTGTTTTTTTTTCTTTCGATACTTTGCTATTGATCAGTGCTTGGTCTATTACTCTAAATGTTATGATAGAAACTATAAAAGATGGATTAACAACATGACCAGGCGTATAGCTACTAAGGACTACACTAGTGGTGTATCTACGAGGGAAGGGGCTGGATAGCGCACTCCTTCCCACTAAGAATTTCTGCCCTCCCATCAGAAAAAAGTGAAACTTGATGATTCTCTTAACATTCTTTTGTTTTTCTTGACTATTTAGCAATCCTGGAAATTCAGTCAGCAAGTAGCACCATAGGATAAACCTGTGAAACATCAATGGCCAAGAAATATTTATTGTTTGCGTACTTTACATTTGTCTATGTAATCGCTTTTATGAAGAGCTCTTCGAAAACCAAAAGTCTGCAGTTTCCAAATGGATCGAATTCTAAGTAGTAGCGTATCCTAGGGTGGACTGTGGTGAGCACCCTCCTTCCACTGCCAGTCTATGTCCTACTACGAGCGACAAGAAAAAGTTCATAAATATCTTGAAATTTTTATCGCTTTCTCATCTATTCAATAGTTCTGGAAATTCAGTTAGAGAGTGTCGTAGAGAAGTGAACAGCCGGCTTCAACAGTAGAGACTTCAATTTTTCATTGATACTTCAAAAGACTTCTACAAATTTCAAGATTACACGAGGATCAATAAACTTAAAGATTTCATGAAACTTCTAAGTGTAGATCATATAACTTAGCGTAAAATCAAGTTATGTTGTATTACGGAACACTTAGTTCACTTGAAATTAATTCATCAAGTGGTAGTCTTGAGATGAATGCCGTTTTGTTTCGGTTTTGTCCTCAAGAGAAATGCATGCTTCGAAAATAACAGTTTTCCAAAACGTTTTATCATTGGTTTTTAAGGCCAAGGAATCTGAATCTCTAATCGATTCAATACAGTTCGAGACACTTATTGGAGATTCAGACTCCTTGACTTTGCAAGCCTTCGGTCAAACAAAAAAAATGCTATTTTCGTTAAAAACTCTTCTCCTGACAGAAAAGTGAAACCCATCAATTTTGAGAAACCGGTTACAAACTCTGATTTCTTAACATCGAAAACGTTTAATCAAACTTTATGAGAAATTTTAATGTTTTTCTAATAGCTATTCCCTCACGAAAAAATCAAATCCACAAGTAATTATCAATAATCATACATAGTAGAGAGAAATATTGTAGCTTGGTGTAAAACCTTCTTCAATAGGAATTTTCGACCTTATTGCAGAATTATATACTTCAATGTAATCTTATATACATATTGTGATACTTTAATGATATCTTATTGTGCATTTATCTCTATCGATGTATGTTATTTAGGTTTATATTTATGAATTAGTTTATATTGCATTTTGCTGTTTCATATCTAAAAATTGTTGTTTGTCTTTCAAAATAAATTTCAGGTAAAATTAAGCTTCCAAGTGATATCTTACATAGCTGATGATGACCGTACAAAATTAAACACGAGGTCAAAAATTCATATTGTAGAACATTTTACATTAGAATGCAACATTTCGCTTTACTATATTCTAATTGGTATTCTTGTTCAAGTTTCTTTATTGATACAAATCCATGACATTGTTCATTCTCTGTTTCTTGGTTATATAACGGTAATGTCCTCCTTTCTATTTCGGTGACCAGAACCATTTCGGAACCGTTAGAATAACAGGAGTCATTCGGAATCAATAGAATCATAGAATCAACTTTACTCCTCCAATTATATGTCAGAAGAACTAGTTATTTTGTATACTGCTTCTGCTAGGTACGCCTGACATTAGGAGCACTGTTCAGAAGTCTTCATCAGGTTTCAAGAGACTTGGGAATTTCATGTAGCCTCATGACGAAGTCTCTGCCATTTACCTCTCGATTCCATTCCTCCTCATCGGTGCTATGACGATCCCAGTATCGTCTACTACGACAAGAAAAGCATGCAGGAAAATAAAACTTATTAAAACGATTGCACGCACTCTATGTCCCATATTAGACTAATCGATTAGTCTACGCTGGCTATTAGAGAGATATTATTGTTGATAATGAAAATTTAATTGATGCTTTTTTCTATTCAGTATTAAAACAGTCGAATACTGTTGTAATAATTATTATTTGTTTATTCTTATTTTTTGTGTTTTTTAGCAGTACTATTATTGCATTTAATAAAAGAACAAATAAATTACTTTTATATATCATTCTTTAGTATCTAAAAAGCCCAAAAGCTGGGTTTATCTTAAAAAAACTTGAATTATAATGGAATGATTGTTTTCAAGGATAGTGGGACACTGCCATCCCACCCACGATTTCCTGGATACGCCACTAGATCACACCCGGAGGTCATTATTGACTGTGATTTCTGTAAGAATATCAACACAATAGTATTTGAAAAGACAAGATAAAAGCTTACACAAAATGGAACTAAATTTAGTGTCAACGATTTATATACCTTATTTAGATGATATATCATGGTGACTGTGCTATTATTTGAGGATAAGATATAAAAATCAGTAATAGTTTTTTGTAAAATTCTATGTGATTCTTTCAACAACTATAAAACTATTATAAATTCTTTAAATTATAGAAGAGATAAGAATGACTTATTATTTGTTATTGATACGTATTACATTTGATTCATCATCATCATTTTTCTTTAATGCTTTGTTTTACAACAAAAATTATCATTGGTTTTTCTTAATTATTATTAATCATATAAACATAGTATCTAGAAATATTTCGAAAATTTTATAGCTTTACATAACCATATGCAGAGAGAAAATGTCTTCTTTGCTAACACGAAAGATTGTAACACATTGTCTAGCATATGATGTCGATAGTATCAGGCACTGTACGTTTTGATACAAAGCTTCATTATAGTAGCTCATATTGCAAATAAGAACAAAAGTATCGAAAAACTATGGAAAATAAAACTGATGCGATGATTAGACTTGCGGTACATTATTTATGCATATATTTGCACTGAATATACCTGTAAGGAAGTAGTGAACAAAAACAAATGTTGAACTATTATGAAACAGAATAAAAGTTTTAGTTTATTTTACAGGTACACGCTTTTATAAATTTTCTTTTTATTAACAAAAGAAAAAGATCTTAGTTGCATCTTATTTTAATAAGATGAAATAAAGTACATTTTGTATAATCTCCAAATGAAATACATAGATTATCAATAATAAACTAATTTTCGTTTTGTGTAAATTCGTCAAAGAAATGCCATCGTACACTTGCAGCGTAGTAGTATCGATGCTGA